ATTCCCCTCTTGACACACTTGGGATTGGTTCAATTCGCTTGAGGAATCAAGATGGATGAATCAAAACCTTAACAGATGTCCATTATGTACCAGATTTAATGAGAAATCTCATCTCTGTGGGAACCTTAGAGTCTAAAGGTTTAGAAGTGAGGGCAAAAGATGGGATTATGAGGATTATCTCTGGTGCACTGGTGATAATGAAGGGAATCCGGAAAAGAAACAATGTGTATTACTTTATGGGTAGTACAATTGTTGGGACAGCAGTAGTGGCAGCTTCTACTGATGAACAGGAGTCAGAAGCAACCAGGTTATGACGTATGCGTTTGGGGCATGTTGGTGAAAAATCCTTGACATTGTTGATAAATCAAGGATTATTGAAGGGTGCTCGGGCTTGCAAATTAGCTTTTTGTGAGCATTGCATCAAAGGGAAGAATAAGATGGTGAAATTTGGAACAGCAATCCATGATACTAAAGGTATTTTGGATTATGTTCATTCAGATGTATGGGGGCCTTCCAAGACAACTTCATTGGGAGGAACACATTATTATGTCACCTTTGTTGATGATTTTTCCCGAAGAGTTTGGGTGTATACAATGAAGACAAAGGATGAGGTGCTAGGATTTTTCCTTAAATGAAAAAAGATGGTGGAGACTCAAACAGACAAAAAAATCAAACATCTCCGTATAGACAATGGTGGAGAGTACAAAAATGATCCATTTCTGAAAGTCTGTGAAGAAGAAGGTATTGTCAGGTATTTCACTGTCAGTTCTACACCATAATAGAATGGGGTGGCAGAGCGTATGAACCGGACATTAGTGGAGAAGGTTCGGTGTATTTTGTCTAATGCTGGGTTAGGCAAAGAATTTTGGGTTGAGGCTTTGGTCTATGCTTGTCACCTTGTCAACCGCTTACCATCGACTGCTATTGGTGGTAAAACACCATTAGAGATATGGTTTGGAGAACCTGCTATAGATTATGATTCCTTACATGTGTTTGGTTCCACTGTATACTACCATGTTAAGGAGTCAAAGCTGGATCCAAGAGCAAAGAAGGCGATCTTTATAGGGATCACCTCTGGTGTGAAAGGCTATCGTCTTTGGTGTCCAGAAACAAAGAAAATAATCTTCAGTAGGGATGTTACCTTTGATGAATCTACCATGTTGAGAAAGGTGACCTCAGAAAAATTGGAGCAGACAGATGGAACTCCCAAACAGGTGGAGTTTGAAGGAAGCAGAATTGTCCCAGCCAGTAAAGAAAATGATGTTGACTCTCCTATGGTAGAAGAAGAGTCAGATGAAGAAGAGGTCCAAACCCAAGAACCTCCACAGCAACATGAATCAATTGCATTCAGAAAGGGAAAGAGGACCATTTGACAACCTGCTCATTATGCTGATATGGTCTCTTTTGAATCACCAATTGCAATTGATGACGTTCCTGCCACTTTTAATGAAGCAGTCCAAAGTTCAGAACATAAAAAGTGGAGGATCGCCATGAATGAAGAAATGCAATCCCTTCAAAAGAATCAGATGTGGAAACTAGCTAGTCTTCTGAAGGGAAATAAGGCAATTGGGTGCAAGTGGGTATATGCAAAGAAAGATGGATTTCCTGACAAGAATAACATCCGCTACAAAGAAAGATTGGTGGCTAAAGGCTACGCTCAAACGGAGGGAGTTGATTATAATGAAGTATTTTCTCCAGTTGTAAAACATTTCTCCATCATAATTTTGTTGGCTTTGGTAGCACAATTGGATTTGGAACTAGTTCAGATGGATGTAAAAACTGCATTTTTAAATGGAGACTTGGATGAGGAAATCTACATGACTCAGCCAGATGGATTTAAAGTTGCTGAAAAAGAAGAGATGGTGTGCAAATTAGAAAAATCATTGTACGGTTTGAAGCAATCTCCAAGGCAATGGTACAAGCGATTTGACAAGTTTATGATAGGGAAGAAGTACACAAGAAGAAAATATGATCATTGTGTGTATTTATGCAAGCTACAAGACGGATCCTATACATATATTCTTCTTTATGTTGATGATATGCTGATAGCTTCCAGGAGTCAGACATAAATTGCGAAACTAAAGACTTAATTGAACAGGGAGTTTGAGATGAAGGATTTTGGTGAAGCAAAGAAGATTCTAGGCATGAAGATATCAAGGGATAAGAAATTGGGGAGGCTTTGTTTGTCTCAGAAAGAATATCTGAGGAAGGTACTAAAACGTTTTGGCATGAATGAGAAGTCAAAACCAGTTAGTACACCTCTTGCTCCTCATTTCAAGCTCGATGCATCCATGTCACCTAAGGATGATGTAGAACGGGAATACATGTCAAAGGTTCCGTATGCAAGTGTTGTTGGTAGCTTGATGTATGCAATGGTGTGTACGAGACCCGATATTTCACAGACAGTTGGGGTTGTGAGCAGGTATATGCATGATCCTGGAAAGGAGCATTGGCAAGCTGTGAAATGGATTCTGCGGTATATTCTGAACACCATAGATGTTGGTTTGATCTTTCAGCAGGACAGACAAGATGGTCAGTGTGTAGTTGGGTATTGTGATTCAGACTATGCAGGTGATTTGGACAAGCGTCGATCAACTACTGGTTATGTGTTTACATTTGCAAAGGCACCAGTCAGTTGGAAGTCCACCTTACAGTCAACAGTGGCTTTGTCTACTACAGAGGCAGAGTATATGGCAGTTACAGAGGCTATGAAGGAGGCAATTTGGTTTCAAGGGTTGCTTGGTGAATTGGGAATGGAACAGAAGCACATCAAAGTGCATTGTGACAGTCAGAGTGCTATTCATTTAGCAAAGAACCAGGTTTACTATGCAAGTACGAAGCATATCGATGTTTGATATCACTTTGTACGAGAGATTCTAGAAGAAAGTGGAGTCATAATCCAGAAGATTCGGACCACTGAGAATCCTGCTGATATGTTGACAAAAGTGGTAACTGCGGTCAAGTTTAAACATTGTTTAGACTTGGTCAATATTGTTACAAATTGAAAGATGAATTTGCAGACACTACTGAAGATTGGATTTTTGAGAGATGTGTGTGGAATTTGCCAAGGTGGAGATTTGTTGGTTTTCGGCAAAATCCCACATTGGTTGTGTATAAGGAGGAAGGGAAATTCTTTTGTTATAAATAGAGCTCTCCTTCTCCTTAGTTTAGCATCCCACAAATATAAGCCTTCTTCACTATTAAAGGCTATTTGTACTCTTTCTGTCTTTGTAATATTTCATCTATTAGTGAAATATTATTTTAGTAGTGTTCGAGGATTTAGGCATAATTTTGGCTTAACCTCGTTAAATTTTGGTTTTCTCTTTTATGTCTATTTAATAGCTATTGTCGGGTATAGTTGTTGTTAATTATTGTCCTATTAAAATTACTTGTCTTGGTAGTTCTGTCTAAGGAGAGTGGGTTTTAAGAGGGACCATTGTGACCCCTCCACTTTTTCCTGGGAATCTACCTTGGGTGATTTTTAGTACAATTGTTTTCATACTAGTCACCTAGATAATAGTTTTCAAGGTGAATTTGTTATTATTGGTGGAAATTAACCCGAATTCCACAACAATATATTATTTTTAGGCGATTTATGTTCGAATAATATTATTTGTAATGTATGTGTGGATTTTATTTAAGCTAAAAATATGACGGATACTATCATGGACCACATTAAATTTTGAATTTGTTCATTACAATCTGAATGATCACGCTATGATGAATCATGTTAAGCTAATATGATGCACAAAGATTGAAAAGAAATTGACGAAATTGTACAAAAATAAGGCAAGCTTCGAAGTCACCTTTGGCATAGGCGGTGGTAACGCCACAGTTTTTTAGCATCCTCGATTGTAAACGCTACACCTCCGTGCCGACACCATGACCGGGGCATTTGCCGTGGGAAGGCAGGACCTATAGCTCTCCCACAACTTGCGAATGGTCCGAGAACATTACTTGCTATCCAAGTCAAGAGTTGTACGGCTTTGGAGATTTCTTCTTGATCCCGTCGAGAAATCCCACTCGTAATCGCCTGTGCTGTCGGTTTCCATTGACGCTGCTCTAGAGGGATTCAAGGAGTTGCACAACACGAGCACTAGAATCGCGAGAGAGACGAATACTTTCTTCATTTCGATTTTCCTTATATGTTTGAACTCTCTTCAGCCTTAAACGTCAACCGATGATACTCCTTAAATAGCTCAAATTCAGGGTCATGGAATCTTTATAAGCTAGAATATATCCATGTGGATTCATTTGTCAACGGGTATTTAATATGCAAAGTCCAATAAACTAATGCTTTGCCAGACAGGGGTGAAGCTGGCAACCTCTTTAAGGGGCCAAATCGAATGATAAAATTTTGGTGAGGGTCAAAATAATTTTATCATTACATTATATAATTTCGTAAAATTTAAAGGGATGAAATGTCAGTTTTCCCATCTTGGAAAACACAGTGTCAACTTACATTAATTCAGTTAAGTAACTATAATTTATGGGGGGGAAAATTAAGTGCGAGGAATAGTCTACACTGCACGTCACATACCGTAATGTATCATTAAAATGACATATCGAAACACACCACAACTAAATTTGTTCTTATTATGTAAATATTAAAAAGTAATGGATTTTTTTAAAAATTAATCATTAATTAAAATTTAGTTTTACTTTTAACAGAATTATAATTAAATAATGATTTTTTAGTCAAAAATAATAATTAATTTAAGTAAATTAATTTGTTTAAAATTGGGATTTGTAAATTATTTAAGTTAAGAATGACCATAAACAATAATCACTGTTGGAGACCTTAACTCGCCAGAAAACACACCGAAAAATTCGTTGAAAAATATTATGTTACAAATCCAACGCGACTGTTTGTCGTAGCCTGAGTTGTCATCGCCCAACAGTCACCTAGCAGTCGTAAAGTAATCGGCCGCCCAAGAAAAGCTATTGCAGGGTGTTCTAAACGATCATCCGTTAAATTATTCTGTTCTTCAGGGTTATGAGCCATTTGTTTCTCATGAAGGTCTCGAGAAGTTGCATCGCTTCATATTCGTAATGGCAATCACGCATCTAGCTTACAGTTGCTTAACGATGTTACTTGCAATCGTGAAGGTTGGTCATTTGATTGCTATACAGTAAGGAAACGCACTAACAGTTCTATGTTGCTACTATTTGCCTACTTTTCCATAACTATTTCGGTAGATTCATAGATGGAGGGCATGGGAGGAGGAAGCTCATACGGACCAACATGGATTTTTAACTGGTAAGTTCAACTTCAAACAATTTGATGCCTCGATACATGCGATTATTTGTGATCAAAGTCAGGCAAAAGACATTTCAAAAACTTTCAAGACATTACTATGATGATTATAGCTTATTTGCTGCAGCACAAGCTAAAGAAGCGCTAATGCGAAGACAAACAGCTATCGTTGTACACCACAAAGCGAACCCCTTAGCGACGAATAGAGTTGTGATCTGGTTGGTAGGTACAGAATATTTCTTCTTGCTGCGTTACTGAAAGAGTTGACTCATAGACTTGTGATGCATTTATATGTTCGTTGGACTTACAGATATGTTACTTCCGGCAATTCGGGTGGTCAGTCGTTCGTCAGATTATCTGACTCTTCGCAAGTGGTTCATCATGGTACGTGCTATTTATAGTCTTGTTCGTTGAAGTTTTCTCATGAATGTTTATGCTTTTGTGTTTTGAATTCATGGCAGAATCACAACCTGTCGCCAAAGCACGATTTTCACAACTGTATGGTTCGTTCTATGGAGGAAGAATTTCAAATGATTGCTCTTACAGTTTTCTTGGGTGACTACTTGTTGATGAATCGGGTAAAGAAAAACGAAAGAACACAAGAATTTTAACGAGGTTCAGCAATGTGCTTACGTCCTCGGTGTCTAGGCAGCGCTAGAAGTTTTATTCAATGTCTTATTGATTTAGCTTACATCTCTATTTATAATAGATAAATCTGGTACATAATTACAAAATTAACCCTTGTACTCTTTACCGGTATATTTATGAGTCATACCTAACAAATCTCCACCTTGGCGAATATCCTGCCCTTAGGAGACATTCAATGTGGGTTGGGTTACCTTACTTCTTTAACAACTCGAAACATTCAACAAGTCCAAGCAATGCTTGAACTTGTCTTTAGTAACTGGCTCGGTGAACATATCAGTGGCATTCTCATCAATATGTACCTTCTGAAACAGAAAATCTCCATATGCAACCAACTCTCTGATCTTGTGAAAACGTACATCAATATGCTTAGTTCTAGCACGATATACCTGATTCTTAGCCAAGTGAATAGTACTTTGATTGTCGCAAAGCAATTGAACTCCACCTTGCTGAAAACCCAACTCCTTCACTAGGCCAATAAGCCATAAAGCTTTTTTTGCAACTTCAGCCGCTGCCATGTATTCAGCTTTAGTTGTAGATAGTGCCACAACAGATTGAACAGTAGACTTCCAACAAATAGGCCTTCCACCAAGAGTAAAGACATACCCTGTCGTAGATCTTCTATTATCCAAGTCACCTGCATAGTCTGAATCCACATATCCTACAACCAAAGGATTATTCCACTGACTACCAAAGACAATTCCATGTCCCATAGTACCCTTTAAGTACCGAAAGATCCACTTGACTGCTTCCCAATGTTGCTTACCAAGTTTAGACATGTACTTACAAACTTGACTAACAATATGAGCTAAATCAGGACGAGTACATACCATTGCATACATCAAACAACCAACAACATTAGAATATGGAACCTTTGTCATATCTTCAGCTTCCTTATATGTCTTAGGGCACTGTTCTGATGAGAGCTTAAAGTGATTCGCCAATGGAGTGCTAACTGATTTTGCGCTGCTCATCGCAAACCTTTTTAGCATCTTCTCAACATAACCCCGTTGAGATAGCCACAATTTCCTTGAGTCTCTGTCCCTGCAAATTTCCATTCCAAGAATTTTCTTTGCAACACCTAAATCTTTCATATCAAATTCCTTACTCAATAAAGTTTTCAAACCGATAACATCATCCATGTTCTTCGCAACAAATAACATATCATCAACGTACAGTAATAGAAAAATAAAAGAACCATCATCAAGGCTCTTAACATAGACACAACAATCATACTCACATCGCTTGTAGCCAATCTTGATCATATAGGAGTCAAACCGTTTGTACCGCTGTCTCGGAGACTGCTTCAACCCATACAAAGATTTCTTCAATCTGCAAACTAAATGCTCGTTTCCAGGTTGAGTGAAACCTTTAGGTTGTCGCATGTAGATCTGCTCCTCTAAATTACCATGCAAAAAAGCAGTTTTTACATCCATCTGCTCTAAATGCAAATCCCAACTAGCCACCAATGCAAGTACTGCTTGGATTGAAGTGTGACTGACCACAGGAGAAAAAATTTCATCATAATCAACTCCTTTCTACTGTGAAAAACCCTTTGCTACCAAACAAGACTTGAACTTCTCCCCCTTTTTTTCTGTTACTGCTGGTTTCTTCTTATACACCCATTTGCAACCAATCGACTTCTTACCCTCAGGAAGACGAACTAACTCCCATGTACGATTGTTATTCAAATACTCCATCTCCTCAACCATGGCAGCCATCCACTTGTTGTTTTCCTGACTAGTAACTGCATCATGAAAAGTAACCGGATCATCACTGCTAACAGTAAGTGCAAAAGAGACCAAGTCTTCAAAACCCAATCTGTTCGGAGGCTTTATATTCGTCCGTCTCACCCTGTCTCTAGCGAGACTATAATCCTGCAAATCATCTGTAGTGGAACCACTGTAAGTCGGTTGAGAAGTTTTTGTTTTCTCAACTGGAAACTGCTAGAAATCCACCACTGTCGTGTATTTCTTCTGCTGCAACATGGGATGTTCATAAAAAACAACATCTCTATTGATCACGATTTTCTTCGCAACTGGATCCCAGAACTTGAATCCTTTGACACATTTCTTATAACCTAGAAAAATGCACTCCTTCGATTTTGCATCAAGTTTGGATCTCTCATCAGCATGTATATGTACATAAGCAGGACAACCAAAAATCCGTAAGTGATCAAAAGTAACATCATGACTAGTCCATACCTCTTATGCAACTTTCCCAGCCAATGATGCCCTTGGCGATCTATTGATAAGATAACACACCATGTAACAGCTTCAGCCCAGAAGTGTTTGGGAAGCCCAACATTCAACCACAAACATATGGCTCTTTCATTCAATGACTTGTTCATTCGTTCCGCAACACCATTCTATTGTGGTGTCTTGCGCACTGTAAAATGCCTCTTAATCCAATACTCCTTACAGAAGTGTAGAAACTGTGAATCTGTGTACTCCGTACCATTTTCAGACCGCAAACACTTGATTTTTCGTCCTGTTTGGTTTTCTACCTCAGCTTTCCACAGCTTGAACTTCTCAAAAACCTCGGACTTCTGTTTCAAAAAATACACCCAAACTTTCCGTGAAAAATCGTCAATAAAGGTAATATAATACCGAGATCCACCCAAAGATGATGTCATAGAAGGTCCCCATACATCAGAATGCACATAATCAAGAATCCCTTCAGTTGTGTGCTTCGCAGTCTTGAAACGAACTTTAGTCTGTTTACCAAGAACACAAAACTTGCAAAAGTCGAGCTTACAGCTTTTAACACCATGCAACATATTTCTTTTATGTAACTCAGCCATACCACGTTCACTAAGATGAGCAAGACGCATATGCCACAGTTTGGTAGTATCATCATAGGACTCAATCGAATGAACTCCACCTACAACGGTACTCCCTAATAATCTGTAAATATTCCCTGCAGTCATCTTTCCTTTCATCACAGTTAAAGCTCCTTTAACAATTCGAATGGTTTCCCTATCCTCACCAGCCTTAGGGATAAAACCATTCTTGTGCAAAGTCCCCAAAGAAATCAAATTCTTCTTCAGATCTGGGATATGTCGAACACCACTCAACGTCCGAACAGAGCCATCATACATCTTAATTCTGACCTCACCAATACCAAAAATATTGAAACAGCGATCATCACCCAAATAAACAGAACAAGAATTAACCGACTTGTATGTTGAAAACCATTCCCTATTTGGCGTGATGTGATAAGAACATCCAAAATCAAGAATCCAAACATCTGTCAATTGAGTCGTTGAAATAGAGAGCATATCACCCTCGCTGTAATTAGAATTGTCATCCTCAACTACATTCACAGACTTGGATGAGTCATCACGCTTCTCATCAGTCTGCATTTTCAACTTCAGACAGTCTCGCTTCATATGTCACGCCTCCTTGTACTTGTAACAGTGAATTGTCTTCTTGTCCCTGGTTTTGGATCTGGAATTCATCTTCCTAGACCATGCCTTCTCTAGCTTCCGTCCACGGTCTCGATTACCCTTGACATATAAGCTATCAGCTTGAGAGTTTTCCCCTACATTCTGCTTTCGCTGGTTGTGAGCCAACAAGGCTGCAATAATCTCCTCAACTTTGATAGTCTCTTTCCCACATGTAAGAGTAGTCACCATGTGTTCGTAAGAGGGAGGCAACGAACACAACAAAATCATCGCTTTGTCTTCATCCTCAATTTTCACATCAAGTCGATCCAAATCAGAAACGATTTGATTGAAGACATTCACGTGTTGTGCCAAATCATTATCGTCCTGCATCTTCAGCCCATACAGCCGCTGCTTTAGATACAGTTTAGCCGTTAAGGATTTCGACATAAACTGACTTTCCAACTTCTTCCAAATTTCATCTGGAGACGATAGATGCATGACGTGATACATGACCTCGTTCGCCAAACATAACCATATGGTTCCTATCGCTCGCTGTTACAATTCTTCCAAATCTTCCTCCTCCATCGACGCCGGCTTTGTAGGTCGCAAAGCCTTCAGGATCCCTTACTGCGCCAACAGATCCTTCACCCTTGTTTTCCATAATTCGAAGTTACCCTGACCATCGAATTTCACAACTTCGAATTTTGCTCCTGACATCTGATACCAATTGTTGATGAATCGGGTAAAGAAAAATGAAAGAACACAAGAATTTTAATGAGGTTCAACAATGTGCTTACGTCCTCGGTGCCTAGGCGGCTCTAGAAGTTTTATTCAATATCTTATAGGTTTAGGTTACATCTCTATTTATAATAGATAAACCTGTTATATAATTACAAAATTAACCCTTGTACTCTTTACCGATATATTTATGAGTCATACCTAATAAATCTCCATCAAAATTTGCTTCGCTCACTCCGCTCCATCCCCTGTTATCTTTACCGGTATATTTATGAGCCATACCTATCACTACTGTACGACTGCTGGGTGACTGTTGGACGATGGCAATGCGGACGACACAAGCGGTCGTGTTGGATTTGTAATATAATATTTTTCAACAAATTTTTCGACGTGTTTTCCGGTTAGTTAAGGTCTTCTACTATGATTATTGTTCACGATCATTCTTAAATAAATTACAAATCTAAATTCTAAACAAATTAATTTACTTAAATTAATTATTATTTTTTATTAAAAATTATTATTTAATTATAATTCTATTAAAAGTAAAACTAAATTTTAATTAATGATTAATTTTAAAAAATCCAATACTTTTTAATATTTACATAATAAGGATAAATTTAGTTGGGGTGTTTTTGGTACATCACTTTAATGGTATATTACAGGTATGTGACATGGGCTGTAGAACAAAATATAAAATTCCATTATCCGAAGGGTAGATTCAAAGTAAATTTCACACATAGAAGCCATAAACCTTGACATTGAAACTGAGAAGAGAAAAGAAATACTAAAGGGAGTTCATTCACAAGAGTTACCACTTGGCCTCAACAAAGAAACTTAGGTAGAACTAGAAGCATCCACGACGCTTGTAGATACCGCAACGCTCTGATGTTATCCGCTGGTTTTTAGAAGGCAAGCACGACGCATAAGCGTTCCCTCTGTTGCAATTCACAATCGGTCGCCTACGGATGCGGGAGCGACTTATCAGGTATCTAAAGTCGAAAAGCATTCTACCGACATCAGGGTCCATTAAGAACTCCGATTCAAAACCGTCGGTGTCGGCAACGGTGGTGGCAGTGGCATTGAACTTCTCAGTCAGTGAAGCAAAGCCTGTTGCTTGAGAGGTGCTTGTAACATGCATAACCATAAGGGTAATTATAAGAGTTCCTAAAAACAAAGGTCTTGGGAAATAATTTTCCATGTTTCCACTCTGAATATTCCCATACAAATGCAATGTCCTCAAGAGATATATAGCGACTGTTTTAAAAAATGAAGAGCTTTTTTGAGATTGAAATGATTAAAAAAGTGGAAGTGTGTATCCTTTCAACGCAAGTTCTCGTGAAGTTAGCTCATAAATGCAGTGTGCATATACGGTTGGGGTAAAACGAGAACCATATGAAGAGAAAACGATCAATCCTTTTATCAACGTGCTACGCTTAACGTGTTTAACAATGGTGGATATTTATTTATAGAAGATTACATCAATTCCTGGAAACTAGGTCTTATTCACTTCACTAGCATTGACTTGTCAACGTGCTACACTTCCAGTCAACTTTGTTAAATGTTGATTAGTTTGATTTAGTTAAATAATTTAATTCAACAAAATAAAGTATACATATTAAATTATGTGACATCTAAAAAAATAAAATATTTTATATTAAAAAATATAATTTATATTTCATTAAAATTATTGAATGACTTTGTTTAAATATTTTTAAATATTTCTCAAACATAAGAGCATTCTCAAACATAATTTATTGCTTAAAATATCTTAGGTTTCATTTCACTAGAACAACTAATTGTTGGTATAACCCCAAATAAATTCAATAAATAATATAGATCTAAATAATTATAAGCATTATTATAATAATACTTTTATCCTTTTAATAAAATATTTGGTAAAATATACATTTAGTACTTAAACTATCAGTTTTGTTTCGTTTTAGTACCTAATTTTTAAATTTTTCCAAATTCATACCTAAAGTTTAGATTTGTTTCATTTTAGTACCATGCCATTAAAAATTTAATGTGTTTAATACCTGAACTATCAACTTTAACCCATTTTAGTACTTAAACTTTCAATTTTTTAAAATTTAACGTTAAATTTTGAACATTAGTATTCAAATGAAACAAAAAACTAAACTTTATGTATGATTTTAAAAATATTGAAAGTTTAGATACTAAAATAGAATAAAACTGATAATTCAAATACTAGATGCTTAATTACCGTAAAATATTTTGTTTTCCTATTGAAGGCGTTTATTAATTCATATTTTATTAAACAAAAGAAGATAGGGTAGTTGTGAATATTAGAAGCTCACAAGCATTGACTTGTCAGCGCCATTCACTTCCAGTAAAACAAAATATCTAAAAAGCGAGTCTCTAAAGATGTCTATTTTTTCGTACATCAGCGTCTTATCTGATAAATAGCACCAACAATGTCCTGCCAAGAGGGCAGAGTCCTCCATGGCCCATAACATAGCAGAGAAATTTCCAAATGATTTTTCGTAACATTTAATCTAGTATAGAAAAAAAAATGGAACTGTAGTAAATTGACTGACCAAATGAAAACAGACGTAGAAGGGAAACAGAGAATGTTGTGAGAAAGAATGCAGTAATATAATCTTGCCTGCACTGCCCTACTACGGTATTCGTTTGCAAGCTTTGTTCATCTTTTATCCCTTTCTTCATATGCATCTCTCTCTGGTTCTCTGTTTTTCCCCTACAATGGAGAATTCAAGCAAAAGAAGCAGTTTTTGGCATTTTGCCTTCAAAACCTCTTATTTCTCCTGTTTCCCTGCCTCCTCTTCTTCATTCAAGACCTTGTACGACACGTTTTCGTCTGTCTTTACGGTACATTATTCACTGAAAAATAGCATCAACATTTCAACAATGCCGTGCCCAAAGGTGTAGCACCAACAACAGAGTCGTCCATGACCCGTATGGTGTAATGATAGTAACATAACAGAGATATTTCCAAATGGTTTTCAGTGACATTTAATCTAATATACATCATTCTACAAATTGTATATACAAAACAAATGTGGAATTGTAGTAAATTGACTAAACAAATGAAAACAAACGTGGAAGAAGGGAAATGTTGTAGGAAAATTCAAATGTAATTCAGTAACAGAATCTTGCCTGCACTGTCCTACTGCAGTTTTCATTTGCAAGCTTTATACATCTTTTATCCCTTTCTTCATATGCATCTCTGTCTGGTTCTCTGTTTTTTCCTTACAATGGAGAATTCAAGCAAAAGTAGTTTTTGCCTTCAAAACCTCTTGTTTCTCCTGCTTCCCTGCCTCTTCTTCTTCGTCCAATACCTTGTCGTTCCCGTAACAGGAGATATCCATGTTACCCCTTACATCCCTACAGAAAACATCACAATTGATTGTGGTTCTTCCACGAGTGGCCAATCTTTTGATGGCCGTCCTTGGGTCGGAGATGTCGGTGGAAAATTCATCCTCATAGAGCAACCAAACAATAAGAACAAATCATCAGCGGTTAAACTTGAATCCCAACTGCCCTCATCGGTTGATCCGCGCCCTTATTCCACAGCACGTCTATCTTATTCAGAGTTCAACTATTCAATTCCCCTCACCGCTGGCCCAAAGTTCATTCGCTTCTACTTCTATCCAACTTCGTATCCAGGCTTTGCAGAAGACCCTTCTAATAAAGCTTTCTTCTCTGTTAAAGCTGGTCCTTTTACCCTTCTCAGCAACTTCAGTGCTTTACTTCATGCTCGTCGTGAACCTACAGTTGTCAAAGAATATTGTTTATATGTTGATGATTATCAAAGTTTAAACTTAATCTTCACTCCAAGTCCTGATATCACTCATTCTTATGCCTTCATCAATGGAATCGAAGTTGTTTCCATGCCATCCCATCTATATTATGCAGCAGCCGGAGATGAAGATGGGGTAACTTTTACAGGCCAGGCCCAGGGAAAATTGTACCCCCTGGAAAATAACAAAGCCTTTGAGAAGATGTACCGAATCAACGTTGGTGGGAGCGAACTCTCGCCAGGAAAAGATTATGAGATGTTCCGGCACTGGTTAAGTGACGTCGACTATGTGACAATAATGAAACCAAGTGCTCTTCCTGTTAATACCAGTACTGAGCTCACCTTCAGCAGTGAAACCCCATCCTTCACTGCTCCAAAGGAGGTTTATACAACTGCCAGGAGCATGGGAACGAACAAGACAGAGAATGAGAACTACAATCTCACCTGGGAGTTTCCTGTTGATTCTGAGTTCAATTACTTTGTAAGGTTACATTTTTGCGAGTTCCAAAATGAGATAACTCAACAAGGTGATCGAGTCTTTGAGATCTTCTTGGCTAATTTAGCTGCGGAGACTCACGCTGATGTTATAGTATGGAGTGGTGGGCATGGGTTTCCAGTATACAGGGATTACGTAGTGGCAATAGGAACACGAGGAAACCAAAAACAGCAAAATCTGTCTGTTGCTTTGCATCCTTCGCCAGCTTGGGGAACTCTTTATTCTGATGCAATCTTGAATGGCCTGGAAATCTTCAAACTGAGCAAAAGTTTTGTTCTGGCTGGACCTAATCCTGATCCATTACCGGTAAATGAACTAGGAAATTCACCGCAAACTTCAATCAATTCCAAGAAGAAGAACAAAGCAGTTTTTGGCATCGTGGGAGGCGCAATATCGGGCTTCGTCGTTCTTTCTCTTCTTTGTTTCTTCATTTTCCGTCGAAAGATGAGAGTCAAAGACACCAAGGGAGTTTTACAGCTGAGTCAGTATTCCTCTACTGTGAAATCGTCCAAGTCAACCAAGTCTCGTGGCTCATCTCTGCCTTCCGATCTTTGTCGCTACTTTTCACTGGCGGAGATCAAAGCTGCAACCCACAACTTCGACGATGTTTTCATCGTCGGCGTCGGAGGTTTCGGCAATGTGTACAAAGGATTCATCGACGGTGGGGCTACACCAGTTGCAATCAAGCGGTTGAACCCGGGGTCTCAACAAGGTGCTCACGAATTCAGGACCGAGATCGAGATGCTTTCCCAGCTACGCCACGTCCATTTGGTCTCATTGATAGGCTACTGCAACGATGACGAAGAGATGATCCTCGTGTACGATTACATGGCCAATGGAACACTTCGTGATCATCTTTACAACACAGAAAACCCTCCTCTTCCATGGAAACAACGGCTAGAGATTTGTCTTGGTGCTGCAATCGGGTTGCAGTATCTTCACTCGGGTGCTAAACACACAATCATTCATCGAGACGTCAAGACGACAAATATCTTATTGGATGAGAAATGGGTGGCTAAGGTTTCGGATTTTGGCTTGTCTAGAGTTGGCCCGACCAACATATCGCAAACTCATGTTAGCACAGTGGTGAAAGGCAGTTTCGGATACTTGGATCCCGAGTATTCTCGTCGTGGACAACTGACAGAAAAATCCGATTTATATTCATTCGGAGTGGTCCTCTGTGAAATATTATGTGCTAGGCCACCCCTTAGCCGCTCTGCTGAGAAGGCTCAGGTAAGCTTAGCACCATGGTTTCAACAATGCCATCAAAATGGAACACTTCACAAAATCATCGATCCATTTTTGAAAGGTAAGATTGTACCCGAGTGTTCGAAAAAGTTCATTGAAGTGGTAATGAGTTGCTTGAATGAAGAAGGATCCAAGAGGCCATCGATGGATGCCGTGGTATGGGGCCTACAGTTCGCACTTCAGTTGCAAGAACTCGTGGAGGAGGGGCTTACGCCTAATGCCGGTGCCGGTTTTGAAGGAGACTTCGATGAGGAGACACCTTTTGCAGCCTATGCAATGGAAGATGACAGTGGGGAAGTGTTCAGTAGCATTGGCGACCATGTGATGAATTCCAGGAGCATTAGTACTTTCAGTTTGACAACAAGTGATGAACAAAGTTTTATTACCAAGGATTCTGGTAAACACTCGTCCAAGGCAGTATTCTCCCAGATTAGAGATCCCCAAGGACGATGAACGAAACCTGCAGCTTGTTGATTAGTAATCTTCATAGTAATTCTAAGTTGATTCGAGAAAGATCCAAAATAATTTTTACTTAGAATTCAAGAAAAAAATGTATTGTAATATAAGATGTTTCAAGGTAATTTCATGTACTCTTATTTTGAGTGTTTAGATCAAATGATATTTATATTATTATTAACTATTAAATTAAATATGATGTCATAAATCAGTTTAGGATGAACTCAATTATATTCAATAATAGAAATATTAATTTGCCAGATGCACAGTAACTTGCCCTATTTCGCTGAACTTAGCACTTGAGATAATTAATGTAACAGATGTTGAGTAGGTAGTTTATTAATGGTTACTAATGATAACAAAGACGTACGTGGTGGTGGTGGTGGTGGTGGTGGTGGTGGTGGTGGTGGTGGTGGTGGGTGGATGAAGTGATTTGAGGGTTTTTTTTTTAAGATTTAGAGAAAAATCGTTGTCAAAATAATTCACAAGGTGTGGTTCACTTCAATATCTGTAGTCGTTTGTCGGCATGTTTTTTTTCCCTTTTCAATTTAGGTTAAAAATATTTAATCTTTAAATTTAATATTTTTTTAACTTTTTCAAAATTTTTGTTTATATTAACTTTAAGGTTTGATAAATTTTTATTATATTTTAAATTTAAATTTTATTATAGTTTAATTATATGAAATTCTAATATCGTTACATACTATTAATCACTTAATTTTCATTATAAATTTATAATAAAAATTAAAATATTTGAATTCATTTTATGATACTCGATTCTTTAATGTATTTTTATTCTTTTTAAAACTTTACATAACATTTTTTTTTATTTTCTAGTGTTGATGTAGCGTAATTCTATAATACCATCCCATCTTAACGAAATCTAAGTTAAAGATTTGATTAATGAACCGTAAAATGAATATATAAAAGCATTTACATTTTTATGTTTGATAAATATACTTAATTGTGACATATTATATAAATTGAAATTTATATATAATATTTTATATCAAATTAAAATAAATTTATAAATTTACGTGAATTAAACAACTTTAATAGTAAATAAATTATTATTATTCCTTAAGATCTCGACTACAAACACATGCTAACAAAATGAAAAAGGTAGTAAATATGATGAGTAGTGCACACATGATATGAGGCTAACAGATTAGAAAGAAAAGCAACTCGACTAGTAGAAACAGTTGAATTCGTCTTTCACCTTCCGCCACCGCAATCACGTTTGTATGTAGCACAGTGTTCAGGTTTTTTGTGGGGGTTCCTTTGCGGGAGGCAGTCCCTATAAGGTTTACCTCTCGCACAATTTGTATCTGGTTTGGAACGAAAGAGTGCATCCCCAACCACAGAATCGCCACTCTTGAGGAATCTACTGCTGTGAGAATCCATCGGGAACTCCAAGTCGGGATCATCGGCGATGATGGAGGTGCTTCTGCTGCTGTTGATTTCCATTGACAAAGCTCTAGAAGAATTGCAGAACACTAGGAGCACTGTAATGGCAACACACACATACTTTCTCATCATTATTTTTCTTCCCCAACCAAGCACAAACAGATTCCAAACCCAGGCGATGCAATATATATATATATATATAAGTTGAAACAAAGACAACCCATGTGCCAATCCATTTGACATTTCAACCTCCATATATACGTCCAAACCCAATTCATTAGCTGCCACTCAAATAAAGATCTTGCCTTAATGCCTTGCATGCAATCGACTACCCATGTGCATAATTGACGTCCGATCCATATTCGTTATCACACTACGTCATTCTTCAAAGAATTGGGCCTCCAGTATCGGAAAAAGGACGTAAGATTGTTAGCAACTTGACATCCACCGAAAAAATTGATCGCAAGTTGATATTTGATTAATTAATGATATCTACTTTTAGTTGTGAAATATTATTAAGTATAATTTTTTAAAAAATAATTAAATGATAAAATAAGTAATTTACCCTCATTTCTACAACCTTTTACATGTTTTAATTTTTAAAATATTGATTAACAGTCTAAATTTATTGACTCTGCCAGCATTGCGAGTTACGTCCGCTTATTTATCTATTCCAGCTGACCTTCATTTCTTCTTCCTCCCTTAATTCAAAAGTTACATATTCTCACCTTCAAAATCAAGCATTTATCTATAGATGCATGCTTCTTAACAACAACAAAAACACTCATGAGCCGACCACTAAAATCGTTGTCTCATTAAACACTGGTCAACTGAAATGTCATTACTTTTGGAAATTCTTATATATGCGACAAGTCTATGGAGGAGTCACTATTTCCGATCGTTCAAATCTTATTTACATTTTCAATCCATTAAGCCTTAGCTGGAAGTGGTAGATCACAGTTTGATACACAATTGACCTCCAACCCAGTCTCTTCTATATAAATCTCCAAAGTTGCAGGGCTTCTAGAAATGACATTAAAACAACAATGCTATCCTTAATTATGGCCATCGCCTTTTCTCTTCAGTTTCCATAACAAGTTCAGCTCCTTATACTCCTACAGATAACATACTTTTGAACTATGGCGCTTCGTCCAACACTACATCCTACTACGACGGCAGAAATTGGGTTGGCGATGATGATGATCGATATTCTAATGCCTCTTCTTTTACATCCGTTGCTTCGTATCAACAACTCTCTGTCACTGAAGTTCCTTAAATGACAGCTCGTATCTTTCATGGCGAGTTCACGTATAAATTCTCCGTTTCACCAGGCCCCAAGTTCCTTCGTCTATACTTGTATCCAAATGACTAACCTGGCCTTAATATAACCACTTCTTCTCTGTCACTGCTAACAATTACACCCTCTTGAGCAATTTCTGTGCATTTCTAGCTTCTGCTGCTGCAAGTCCACCACGAGCCTTCATTATCAAAGAATTCGTCATCACCGTTGGTAACAAGCGGATGCTGGATGTCACCTTCGCCCCGTCACCAAATTCTTTCACTTTTGTCAATGGGATTGAAGTCGTTCCCATGCCCGCAAATCTCTATACCGGCTCTCCTGATCCCTTAGTAGGCTCCGATAATTCATTTTTCGAGCCTGATGACTCCACTGCTTTGGAAATCGCTTATCGGCTTAATGTAGGTGGAAGAGATGTTTTAAATGTAGACGATTCAGGAATGTTTCAAACATGGTATCAAGATGATGACTATATCTTTGGAGCAGCATCTGGAGTCGCGTCTAAACAGCCTGACGCAACAGTCAAATACACCCAGGCCACCCCAGCGTATACGGCACCAGAAACTGTATACAAAACCTCTCGTAGTATGGGGCCTAAAGCAAGTATTAACATGAATTACAACCTTACTTGGCTTTTCACAGCTGATTCTTGGTTTTACTACCTCTTTAAGCTTCGTTTTTGCTAGAACTCTCGAGATATACAGAAAGTGAACCAGCGTGTATTCGGTATATTTATTAATAATCATACCGCTGAGGAAGCCATGGATGTTATTGGTGTAATGGCATCCCAATCTACGAAGATTATGTTGTGTGGGTGCCACAAAGTGATATTGATCTTTGGGTGGCAATGCATCCACAAACGCGACAAAACCCGGTGTTTTATGATGCGATTTTGAATGGTTTGGAAATTTTCAAGCTAAACAACTCGGATGGTAGTCTTGCCGCTCCAAACCCTCGACCAGAAATGGTTCTTACGATCCCAAAGTTAAAGCAGAAGCAACCAAAGAAGGGGAAATTTTTTAAACGGAAAAGGGTCGTCATGGGAGCTACGTAATCAGCATATTATCAATCGTTCTGATCTTTTCCTTTGTTTTCTGGAAAAGGAAACATCTTTTGTGCCGTATGGAATCCAAAGACAAACAAAAAGTTTCACCGATTCGATGCAAGCACTTTTCACTTGCCGACATCCTCATTGCAACAAATAACTTCGACGATGATCTCGTTGTAGGTCGCGATGGCTTCGGCAACGAGTACAATGGTCGCATCCTGGTATTCAAGACGAGGTTGCAATCAAGCGACTCCATTCCAAGTCCCACCAAGGTGAGAATGAGTTTTGGGCCGAGATCAAGATGCTCTCTCAGCTTCGCTACATCAAGCTTGTGTCCCTTATAGGTTATTGTGACGAAGACAATGAGATGATTCTCGCTTATGATTATATGGTGAATGGAACTCTTCGTCATCACCTCTATAACAACGATCACATCCCTCTCCCATGGAAGCAAAGGTTGAAAATCTCTATCGGTGAAGCTCGTGGATTAGAGTACCTTCATTCAGGTGCAGTTCAGAGAATCATTCACCGAGATGTTAAGACCACTAATATTTTGTTGGATGAGACATGGGTAGCTAAAGTCTCGAATTTTGGGTTATCAAAAATGAGTCCGATTTTATTGGAAAATGTTCCAATCACAACTATGGTGAAAGGAACTTTCGGATACATGGATCCAGAGTATTTTCAGAGGCTACGACTCACGGAGAAATCCGATGTGTACTCATACGGAGTGATGCTATTCGAAGTCCTGTATGCTAGACCCGCAGTTAACGTAAGTTTAGAATATGATCAAATAGGTTTAGCCGGGTGGGCTCTCAAGTGTGCAGAGAATGACGCCATCGAGCAAATCATCGATCCTTACTTGAAAGGTAAAATTGCAGCAGAGTTTAAGAATATTTGTTGAGATTGCCAAAAAATGCCTAGACGATGTGGGAGTGGAAAGGCCAAATATGGGAGATGTGGTGGGAATGCTTGAGTTTGCACTGCAGTTGCAAGAAGCTGCAGAAGCAAAATCGACGGTCGTCGAAGTTGGTGATACAATTGATCGGCCCCAAACCATTGATGAAGCTGTGTAGTTTTTGGAGTCGATGTGTTTGTAAACAAATTAATTTAATGAATTCATTAGAATTCACTCTCTTGAAGGAGTCTAATGACCAATCAATTAGAAAACTGAGGTGGAGCTTAGGAGTGCCGAAGAAAATGACCTGTTGGTCAGCTAATAATACAACGTCTTCTTCTAAGAACAAATAAGTCCACAATTTTGTAGTGTTTTGTGCACGGTGTGATTGATTTTTACCGACAACTGACGTGCAGGGACCAAAGCGGACGTGCTGGTCTACGTCGGATGTTTTTTTTCCTTCTAAAGAATGGTT